AAAAGCATGATTGCCACACATTCTTTTTTTGCCTCACCTATATTTTTTCGCATATTTCAGGTTGAAATGTTTGATTATTTCTTCGTCCCGCATACCAGATACGGAATCCACGTCACTGGGAACAACAGGAAACAGAAAACCTCTATACGCCTCGCAAGTGGGCTCATTTTTGTCTTCTGCACATGAGAAAGGAAGTAGCGGTGACGTCAGAACGCCGAGCCCTGATTGGATGATCGCGACCCCCTATCCGAGCGTCGTCTGCTCCTTTGCAACGTCGTCTGCTCGCAACGTCGTCTGCGTCTGTCTTACCTTTCCTGCGACCTCGGGAAGTGCAGGTCTTTACGAGCGAGCTCGACTTCGGCTTTCAGAGAGGGCAGACGAAATAACTCGAGCGGTACGAACTAGCAGACGTGCATCAAGGAGGGAAGTCAAAGGACTCACTGGCGAGGTGTCCCGAGGCGCCGAGGTTTGTTTGCTAAGAACCGAGAGGTGAGGATGCTTAGTGTCCGCAAGTTCCCTCCCAAATACTTTTTCCCTCCTTTCGTGTGCGGCGAGACCCCTGATTCTTCGACGGCGTCGGCGAGTTGGTGCAGTTAACGTCGTCTGCTTTACGTCTGCTAGTCAAAGCGATGGCTGCTTTACCTTTCCTGCGTCTGTCGGAGATTCACCGCTTTTTTACCGGCGAGAGTCACCGTTGCCTCGAGAAACAAGGAGATAACAAGAGGAAGAAGTTGACCTCTTAATCTAAAATTGAGGTCAGCGATCAAAGTACAATACGGGAAGGGTTCACAAGGGTCGCGCGGGCATATTCGATTCAGCACGCCAGCCGGTCGTGGGCAGACGGTCGCCGAGTCGCGGAGTGCCTGCTAGGCCTAACTGTCGTACTCGCTTGGTCGTGTTCGTTGGAATCGTGGTCGTTGGAGCTTTTCCCGGGTGTTTCTGGATCCAGCGTTCTTGTTCGTCGTGGTCTGTTTCAAGTACTTTTTACTTTTTTTCTTGGTGCTTCAAGTTGGGACGCGTGAGAAGCGCACGTAGAAAAATAAACGTCCGTGGGTCGTCGCGACCGCGACGCTGTCGGCCATGCTGATTTGATCGTAAGAAGTGCGTAGACATGTAGCTTCGGAGCTGTCGTAGGATTTCGTCGTAACCTGCGCAGAACTTACGAAAATTTTATTTCGTGAATACGAATTCGTTCTTAACTTATGTCTTACGCACATTTTGGCGTAAGATCGTTTCGTGAATCTGCACTTCCGAAAGCCGCACGAAAGGTAAGACAGATGCAGACGACGTTGCGAGCAGACGACGTTGCAAAGGAGCAGACGACGCTCAGATAGGGGGGCGCGATCAGCCAATCAGGGCTCGGCGTTCTGACGTCACCGCTACCCCCTGCGCAGGAAGCAGACGAACTTGCCCTCCGCATAGACATTTGTAGAGCCACTAAATAAGCTGCGCTTAGAGTATCGGCACTCCGTTCCCCGACATTGTTGTGGGCGCCGCCATTTTGGCTCGTATGCAGAGCAGACGCAACTGCCGATCGTCATGATTCAAAAGTGCGACTTCCTCAGCATTAAATTCGGTGTTAGAAAGCTCATGTAATATTGACATGCTCTGTCGCGAACTGTTTAAACATTTGTGGAGGGCGGAAAAACATTTCCTGTTGTGATTTCAGATAAAGCTTCAGATAACTGGCAACCATGATTTTAAGACACAATATGGCCAAGCGTCGTTACTCTGAAGCGTAGCTTATTTAGTGGCACTAGACATTTGCATATATGAGTTGCCGATTGGTGCCCCATGCGTGCAAGCACGCGTAGCATGCGCTTGAAGGTAGCTTTGACATGCTTGCACTTGCTCGTGCTTCCTCACACGAGCAAGAACATGGCGGCGCCAAGATGCCTTGTTGGCAATCGTCTATACATAGCTTGCTCGTGTCGCCATTGCTGGGTACTGATGGTTCTTTCTAGTTACTGGCTCCCTCAAGCTACGATGTGAAACTAACACGGTGAAGCGAACGCTCGTGGCACTTAAAATACCGGCATGGCCGCGAATGATGTTACGAGCGGGCTGTCTATAGGCCATAGGGCGTACAGTCCTAAGATATTACTACTAGGCGAGGTCGTCACGCGTTGACGCCATCAAGCGGCACTGCTCGCAACTACAGTACCCTTGGCCGTGCAGAGGCAATTGACGTCACGAGCGCGATACACATTGCGCTTCTCGCTGGCCGATTTTGAAGCGAGATGTAGGAAGCTCGCGGTCACGTCATTTTGTTTTCGTACTTCTATAAGACTTTCAAACTTTACGTCACTCATCCTTCCAACTAAAACTTGACCTCTGGCTTTCTGAGTCTGCAGCCTCGTGACGACAATCTGCTCAAGACATTTATACTCGAAATTAATGTTTTTTTATTGTTATCATTTGAGTGTGTCCTCACGGCAGTTCCCATCTACTTCTAGTTTTCGAGATGTGTGTCGCCACCGAGACTATCCCTAGTGGAACAGTCAGTTTTCCAATGTCCTTAGGATGTCCTCACGTTCTGGGGATGTCCTCTGGACGTTCATAGGACATTCCAAAACGTTAGGACATCCTAAGGATATTACCAGTACAAAGTGTGCTTCTAGGGATACTTCTGTGGCCCGAATTATTGGGCGGCGGATAAAACCTAAATAGAAAAAAAAACCTCCCTAAAGGCAAGCTCAACGGCCATCTCACCGGCTTAAACCTCATCGGCAATAGATAGGCTCAATGAAAAAAAACCTTTGCCCGGCATATGCTCACCGGAGAAAACTGAAACGGATAAGAGCTCACTGCGGTAAGCTCGATCAACGAAATAAACCTCAGCGGATCAAAGCTCATCGACAAACGCACAGCGGAGAAACCCGCATTAGGTAAAAGCTCAACAAAGAAACCCTCACCGAAGGAAACAACTAGGTGAAAGCTCACCGGACAAAAGCTCATTGAAGAAACCATCGCCGAAAAAAAGCTCACTGGAAAACCTCCAACCGCATAAAAGTTAACAGGAGAAAACCTCACAGGATAAAATTGTTTTTGGAGAAATATTTACTCGATAAAGAACTCACAGAATAAAAGCTACCCAGAGAAACCTCCTCGGATAAAATCTAACAAGACAAAAGGTCACCGAAGAAATAGCTATCGAATTAAATTTCACTGGAGGAAAGCTCGCTGCAGATAACTTCAACGTAGGAAATCTCACTGGATCACAGCTCACCGGGAAAAAGCTCACAGGAGATACACTTCCTATATAAAAAGTCACCGTATGAAATGTCAACGGAGAAATACTTACACATAAAAGCATACCGGATAAAAACTAGTAGTGGAAACCCTCAACTGATCAAAGTTCACCGGGCAAAAGCTTACCGAAGAGACCCTCATAAGATATAAACTGGCCGGACAAAGAATAAAATAACCGTATAAAATAACGCCGAAATAAAGCTCACCGGACAAAAGTGCCCAAAAGAATTTCTCACCAGATAAAAGCTCACCAACGATAAGTTCTACGAAAAAATCATAATTGAATAAAACGTCAGCGGAAAAGACATCACCCTGTCAAAGCTCGGCGGCCATAAGCTAAATGAACAAAACTTAACCGGACGGACTCTCATTAAATAAAAGCTCGCTGGAGAAAACCTCGCCAAAGAAAACCTCACCAGATAAACGCTCGCCGGTGATAAGCTCAACAGAACACCCTACCGGATAAAAACTCACGAAATAAAAAGTAACAGGAGAAAGGTCTCACTTTATAACGATTACTTCGCATGAAATTTAAATCTAAGGTTAGCTTTTATTTCGGTTTCTCAAATAAAGTTGACGTGTTTTCCGGACCAGCAAAAAAGAAGGTGAGCTTTTCTCCTGGATCTGTTTTCGTTATTTTCACGATGTGAACAGTGTCTGCAGTCTTTAATCGTTAAAACAAATGCTCATGGACAACTGCAAACGCCAACGTCACTCTAGTGAAAGAAGCGTCGAAGTACGGAAAAACAGTAAAAGCTCAAAAATACGATAAATGATCTATAGCTTGAAGGGATTCCTAGGTATGATGTATTGTTCCAGAATGACGATGTAATTTCTCTGCCCACATTTTGCACCAAGCGAACTGCGCCAGCTCTCGGAAACAGGACCATAATATTTTTATTATCCATCTTTGGACTTCTAGCGTTTGTGCTTGATGTAACCGTGCACCCTCGAAAAACCAAGTGTCAAGCTTCCATGGCCTATTCTTGACGAGTGGTCCTTTGATCCGTTACTTTGCTTGTGTCTTTTGTATACGACCACAATCGTGACCAGAGTTACTACACTAGCCATAATTTTGCCCCTAACCTTTAAAAAAAAAAAAAAAAAAGTTGTGGAAGAAAGTACACAGGTAAAATGACAAGGACTGAACTTTGATTTATTTTTATGCTCTTTTTTCGAAGGGCGTTGAGACTTATGGGGTAGGGCCAGTGGGCGAGTACTTCAGCCATATAAGCGAAACACCGATTTCATAATAGGAATTATGTGCCGTCTGATTCAAGACTAGAAAGTTCAGGCGCCAAGGACACGAGGGCAAAAACCACCAGAAAGTTTAGAGGCCTACAATCAATCCTTTACCTGAGCTAGTTTTAGGTTTAACCATTAAATTAAAAAAAAAAATACAATCTCCCGTAAATAATTACGAATGACAGCTTGTGTTTTTTCAGGCTAATACAACTGTTTTAAAGACACATTAAAGTCTTTTAGAACAAACTCCTTTAAAGGATCATCAAATCAGGTCGCGATCTCCGCTCTGTGCGGGTTCGCCGATGCTTTAAAAGAGTTCATTCTGAGGGTATTTGCCGTTCCCTTGAAACAGGGGTATTCGTCTCAGTGTAACATATCACTTTTTGTCTCCAGTGCGGAGTTACTTCTAAGTTGACAGCCTCTCTAATCATCTGCCACTCGGATTTTTTGTTTCAATTTTTACCTTAAAGGCAATCTAAAAGAACAGCAGCTAAAGCACTTACTTGCGGGACGCTGCACAAAAAGCTCGTTATCCAAGCCCAGGAGAGCATTATCCTGCCACGTCGCTGGGCATCGTTCACCTTGAGCGGGTGCAGGACTGCAAAGTACCTGTCCAGACTTATGCACACGAGTACCATCGAGGACAAGTACGGCCCGAAAGCCCGAAGCACCTGCATCACCTTACACATCACGTTGCCTGCCGTCCACTGCACCGTGAGTCTCCAGCCCACCTCCAGGGGAATCATGACGAAGGTGACGATGAGATCCGCTATCGCCAGATGCATGATCATGACCTTGAGTCTGGACTTGCGATGGCGCTTGCCCATCAAGCTGAAGAAAACAGGGATGTTACCGGTGGCGGCTGTGACGAACAGCACCGCGTACACGATGACTTGCACTAGTGACTGCGTGTTGAAAGTCAGTTCTTCTGGAAACAGTTGTTGGCCGGGGTCAGTCCAGTTTGGATGGTTCACGTCAAGGAGGATTTCTGAAGACTCTTCGCTGTGGTTGGTGTGAGGCATGATGGGCTCTCCGGGAAACAAGTTTAAGGTGAAACGCTGCATTTTAACTTGATTTAACTTGACTTTTAACACACAAGGTGCGCTCAAACGTTTCTCCTGAGCTTGAGTGCCCTGTTTTGTGCCAGTCCACTGGGATACATTGTGGCAAAACCTACCACCAAAGAACCCCGCACACGACAAAATCTAATAAAATATTTTATATTTGCTCAGCTGATTTTGGCGACGATTGTGGAGACCTGCCAAGGGTGGATGTGCACATAAAACTTTCTAACTAAAAAGATACGGTGAATTGAAGTTTCTAGTCGAGTAGCAGTTCCCTTTGCATGTTGCGTCTTATTCACGGTTTTTGTTTCTTTGTGACTATAAATACATATTGTCAATTTTTAGCATACCTTTCTTAAACAGCTGAAAGTCGCCCAAATACCCTAAGCTAATATGACTACGAACTAATTTTAAAAAGAAAATACAGACGTCGGCAATTTTGTTGAGTGTTCCGTGATTGGATTTAGTAAAGAATGTTCAGCGAGAGTTGTCAAGCCCCCAAAAACTTACAATATATCAGCCATCAGACGATGCTACGCCAACAATTCCAGTATGCTAGTATTCGCTGCACTTTGCACTGCACGTGACCACAGCACCAAGCTTCCAGAGAGCGAGCGTCCCCACGCAAGTGTTCGGGCCCCACCGGTGCCCGGGACTGAATGAAGCTCGAGAGCGCGCCTTCTCTAGCATTACCGTCGGTCACCGCTAGTCGGCGCTGCTCACACCCTCGTTGGAAGAGAGAGAGGAGGACACGTAAGAGAGAAAGGGAGAAAGAAAGGGGGAGGGACCAGCATCAGCTGGTTTCGGCGGTTGGGACCTATCGATTTTCTTTGGAGCATTCGAAGCTGGAGAGTCCAATCCACAGTTTAGATAAAGTAACAGTTTGGGGTACGATGAAGGTAGTCCAGCGACACGTGCGTGTTGGGTTTTTGTGAGAGAGAGCCAAGAGTTTGGTAGAAGCTCCGTCTTCATCACGTGCTGCTTTTGGAGCAGTTTCTGGAAAGAAAAAATAGTACGAGGTAACGCGAATTTAATGCCGCCGTCACGGCGTCCCAACTTGTGGCCGCCTAAACTTCCTCGAACTGTCAAGCTGCAGGGTGATATGCAGCGGAAATGGCATTCTGCACAAATATTCCACCGCTGCTGCGAAGGCCGCCGCGAGGATTGCGACCTGCAACAGCGTGTCAACTTGTGCTGCGTCATCAGGCGGAAATTGAGGAACAACTTCTTTTGGACGCTGTAAACGTACCAGTCGGAGACGCTTTACGGGCACCGTATACTTTGGTCGCGCGTGCGACGAAGAGTTCTCAAGGGCGGGAAGCTCGCCATGAAGGCGGAGCATACCGCTAACACATTATGTTCGCAGACGCTGTCTGAGGCATTTCTTTTTTTTATTATATGACGTTCTTTTCACAATGGGGATATAAAGACCCTCTGCAGAAATGCTAAGAGCGTGCAAGAAGCGAACATGCCTGAAACATGCTTGACATGTGTCCACATATATTTGTGTCGTCCTCTAAGCAACGAAGTTGTGTATTTTGTACGATGGGAGGAGCAGCTCGAATGCTGCTTTTAAGTTTCACCGTGCGCCGAGACGTTTCGCCCGCTTTCTCAAAATCCGATCTGACAAAAAGTAAGTAGATTTGCCGAATTACAAGTGGAAGTGCGTTCTCCGAACACTTTAGCTGTTTCACTCCGTCTCAAAAACTTAAACATGACAACAACAAAAAAAAACAAAAAAAAAAAACGGGTATTTCTTTATTTTTGTTTCAGAATTTTTTAATATTTATTTTTATCACAACGCACAATCCCCACTTGCTGCGAGGCAAAAAAATCTATATATATATTTTTCCCCCTTCCAAACTTCTTCCCTTTGATTTTTCCGAAAGAAAAAAAAAGAAAAAAGAAACGTATTATTGAATTCTAACTTTCCACACACAAGAGAAAGATGAAGTGCTCCCCAAGTTATTTTTCCCTTGTTCTTTCGAGAGAAGGGCGGGACGCTTCAACTCAACGCGAGCAGCCTCTCCCTTTATTTATTTATAAAACAAAAACAGGTTAATGTAGGTTCGGAAACGGTACGTTTAGAAAAAAGTAAATCCAGTTTGTCTGGAATTCCTGGAGTCGGCTTCGAGGCTTTCCAGTATGAACTTAACGTGACTGTCTTTACTACGCCGTGCCACTACACGCTTAGAGCTAAACACGAACGCGCGTCGTAGAGCGCTTTCAGCATTAGGTGTTACATGTGATCAGAGATTTAACGACATCCAAAGAAGCTTTTTTTATGATCCCTCTAATTTGTAAATGTCGATGGGGTTTCAACAGCAACAATTGATTAAATTATTGTTACATGGTTACTTAAAGAGCTTCTTCAGCCTAAATAGGGGCAGGCTTAAATGCTAACGAGGGAGACCGAAAATGGTGTGACATCATACGATTAGCTAGTGTAGTATTCTGTTACGTTACACGTTTCGTCGCGCGAAGAAGCGAATATGTGTTTATAAAAAGCTGGGCTTCTTGAATTAATTGCTCGATGATACCTCAGTTATGTAGGTTTCATAATTTGGCAGCGTAATTGAAGGAACGTAAAAGTGCGCGAGGCGTGAAGGCGTACGATCGTTATTTTTAGGCTGCAGAGGCCCGTTGATAATTATCTGGATGTTGGCGTACTTTGCGGTCGCCGCACCCAAGTCCATTTACCACGCGAAGGTGAACTGTATCCTCTGTTTCCCTTCTTCCCCTTAGGAACCTTCGCGCATTTCGATCAAGGCCTCCTAGGTGACAAGGCCGCGGTGCCGAAGATTTCTACGTCAGCTACAAGAGGCCGATTTGCGGGGCACATACTGGACACGAGTGCTGTGTCAGCATTCGTGACCAACCTGTGGTTGCCTCTGATAAGTGACGTCAACAATTCGGCCTGACAATTTAAGAAACGCAGGGTGTGGTGAATCTCGAGCATCTCATTACCGCGTCGCAGCCAATGAGAGGACGGCATTGGTTGATAACAAAGGCGAAGGAACAATCAGAAAGCGTGAACATAATGAGCCACACCCCGAGAGTCTTGAGCTATAAGCGTCTATAAAAAGCTTGAGGGGGCGTGGGGAACGCTACCTATGACCAAAACACTACAACCTAAAGACAGATTCAACAGCATTATAAAGAAAAAAAGAATGCCAATAAAAACGACTCAAAGCCCCCGTTTTGATCTCAGTGTGAATGGCGGTATCTAAAAACTATTAATGTAATATTCTGCGGTGCAACGAGTTGTAAGCCAGGGATATCGGGTTCGAAGAAGGTTGGCGACGGGAAATCGGATTTTAAATGATGCGGTTGCGTGGGCAGGAGAAAGAAACAGCCAAGCCTCCGTGCACTTATTCATAGCTTCCTTTATACTGATAATACCTGCCCAATCACCAGTTGCCAGCTACCACCACGAGGGTGCGTCACTTTCCCACACAACAGAGACACAAGACAGAAAACGTCAACGACGTCAACAAAGTGACTAAGCCTAACTCTCTCGTGCATTCTTGCATCTTCTGTGCTATTTCGGGCATATGACATGGTAGCTGTGGGTCGCATTTAGATTTTATTTTAACCACATTTTTTCTGCGTTTTATGCAGATTCGCTAATGAAGGTGCCAGGACTGCCATGTCCCGAGATCACAAGCAACACCCGAAACCTTGAAAAGTGACTAAAGCCTATTTTTGACAAACGACTTTGTCCCAAAGTTAACCTTCTGCAACTCCAAAGTATGAAGTAGTAAGCTTTTTACAAAAGACATTAAGAAAAGCCTGTCTAGGCAGGCCTTCCTTTAAAACCCTTCTGAGGGAGGCCTCAGAATCCTGATGAGTCTTCGCTCAAAGTCCAGGTTGGTTCGCGCCTCCCTGTCATCAAAGCTGGTTCAGTCCAGTGTTGTACGAAACGGCGTTCCAAGAAACGGCGTTCCTTGAACGCGTTCCTTTTAGAAAGCACGAAGGAACGCCGCCATTGCATTTTACATCGATAGAACTGGAACAGGAACTCGTTACTTTTTTACTGGAACAGAAAAAAGGAGCGGCGTTTCTTTTTTTCGTCCAGTGCGGTAATTTTTATTTCATTTCTAAAAGAGAAATTCCGAAAGTACAAAAAAAAATCTTTTCGAAGGGCGGGATCTTGTTAACTTTTTGGTTACTTATATTGGGGCTTAATTTGTGCGGTCCTCGTCCGGTAACAGTCGGGTGCAGGAGAGCTAGTGGACATCGATTCTTCCCTCAGTGCCCGTTACTGCGATACAAAAAGCAAACCTTTTAGTTGAAGGGACAGACACAGAAAGAGGGACGTTTCACCTTCTTTGCTTCCACCAATCTCCATACACCCTGAACTCTAAGGCCGACTAGAGCTATCACTGAACTTCCACAAAGAGAACTACATTTACAACAAAATAACAGGATTCCAGACATCGAGCGCACCCTTGTATCCCGAACATTGCTCACTTAGGAGATAGACAAAAATTAATCTTTATTCCTTCTCCCCTTGTCCCCCACCTTCAAACTGAAAAACGAATCGAGCCTTCACGAAGAAGGACTTGTAGTTTTCAAGACTGAGCTTCCAAAAGCCCTTACCACGTCTTCCCTTGCTGGTCTTGCGGACAGCAACACCGAGAAGCAACTGTTAACGAAAACACAGTGAGGATGCAGGCGAGGTGGTGCAAGTTTACAATTATGTTGAAACACTTGAGACTAAGTGTGAAGAAACCTTGTAACAAATAAAAGTAGACGAGACATGGAAAGAAGTCAGTCGGACGACGTATCAAACTCAGCTAACAAGTTTATTCCGTAAACCTTTTATACACAAAGACATGGTGTGTCATAAGTGTGTAAATAAGAAGTTTGTAGAACAGATAGGAAAGAGAAAATGATTTGTTGTTGCTTGTTCTGTTGGATAGTGATGACCTTGGCTTCAAAGGTGTTTATAAGTG